GGCACATCAGCCAAGCCATGTTTCCAAGGAGGAGCCTGGAGGCTCCAGGGATGGGTGTCCCGCAGGAGGCAGGCAGGAGCTATCTGGGCATTGCTGCTGGGAATCCCCCAGCTTGGGGTGGGTGGCAGTGAAGGACCCCAAGAACCCCAGGGCCATGGGGAGCTGGGAAGGGATCCCTGTGCACCCAGGCAAGAGACCATGTGCCTCCCAAAGAGCAGGAAAGGGACCCCATGCACCCTGGAGAGCCAGGAGGGGACACTGTGCACCCCAGGGAAGGGAACTCGCACACCCGTGTGCTGTGGGGAAGGAACGCTGAGACCCCCTGCCTGCTCACAGGGCTGGGGACTTTGCAGGGAGTTTGGGGGCTTTGCACGGAGATCTCCTCCCTGGGGCTCCCCTCGCTGCCACCCTCAGCCCGTGATCCCTCCCCAAACCAGCCCCATCCTCCCAGCACCCCTGTCCCCAAGGAAGGCACCAGAGCCCACGTCCTCAGTAACAAACACGTCATTTATCCTCCCCGGTGCCTTCGAGCTCCGCTGGTCATGGGACAGGAGATTTGGGGGAAAACCAGACAGGAATGGGCCAGGGGCAGGATGGGCACCTGTGGCACGCAGCAGTGCTCAGGATGGACGTACTCCCCCCAAGCAGCAGCTCCCAGGAATGTGGGGAGAGTCGCAGCCTGAGCAGCCTCCAGCGTCAACACCACTTCCCCCCGGCTCCGGCTCCTCTTCGGCTGCCCTAGAAGACACCCACCTTCTTGCCGCAGAGCAGCCCGGGCTCGTGGATGGCCTCCCACATCACCAGGATCTCGTAGGGCAGGAAGCGGGGCACGAGCAGCAACTCCCGGTAGTAACAGTGGTCAAAGGGGTCGGCGTTGGGCGGCACCAACACGCCACCGATGCGGATGCCGTCGTGGGAAGCGGGTGGCAGCCCCGCCTTCTCCAAGCACATGCCCAGGTAGACGTCGTCAAGGGGGAAGAGCTCGATGTCCTGCGATTCCCGGGCGATGACGCGGGCGGTGAAGCCGGACATCAGGATCCCGCCACCGACGCAGAAAGGTGTTGGAGGGCATCAGCTGCGTCGGCACAAAGTACTTGCTGCCCGGATGGCGGATGGGTCCAGTGTTAGCAAGGACATATCCCACCATGAGGTGCTGCTGCCGTGTGCCTTGGCTGGCCATGGCGAAGTGGACGACGTTGTCCGTGTTGACAAAGACGTCGTCATCCCCGTTGAAAACGAAGCGGACGCCGGGGCAGCGCTCCTCCAGCCAGGCGTGGAAGAGCACCTGCTTCAGCGTCAGGTTGAAGAAGGTGTCCCTGAAGTCCCACTGCAGCACGTCCCCGTAGTCCCGCTGCTCCAGCCGCAGCAGACGGTTGAGCTTCTTGGCATCCCGGGCATTGGGGGACACTCCCACGAGGAAGACTCTGCGGACGAGGGCTCCTTGGAAGGTTCTCTCCTGCCCCCAGGTTTTGCGGATCACCTCTCGCCGATCGTAGTTTGTGGGTGATGACTTAAGGGCCAAGAGCAGGAAGATGTTGGAGGACCCTTCAGGCCCCCCACACTTGTCGGGGACGTCGAGCAGCGCCGGGAAGGACCTGCAGTGCTTGTACAACATGAATTCCTGCACGTGGCCGGGCAGCTCAGCAAAGCCGGAGATGTTGTACACCGAGGTGTTGGCCACACACGGGGCAGTGGTGGCCGGAGCCCAGCGCAGAGGGAGCTTGGGGGCTGCCCAGAGGCTGGGGGGGACGGTGTCCTTGGG